ACAAAACTGAACCTTATCGTTTTTTCTTTTTTTAATTACTTATCGTTTTACAGGTCAACCGCTCTCTCAAGACACTCCTTACATAACGTAGACAAGCGGGGTTATTATACAACCCCACATGAAATGTTCGTGCAATTCATATGGCGGCAACGAGAGACGGTAGTTTCCCTAAATAGGGGGACCCGAATATAGATCCCACAGTACTGTTGTCCTTATTATGGGGACCCCAAAAAGGGTTCTCCTAATCTCGCGAAACGCCCATGCCCTGCGCCGAGGACATTCAAAAACGGTCCCAAAAAATGGCCAAGCGACACTCCTCCTCAACGTTTTCAATCCTTGATCTTTCTTGGGGCAATTGAAGCATCGAACGATTCTTACTACATGGGGTGCTGTCCAAACAGGAGGGAATCCTGATCTCTGAAATGGTAATTTCCCAAAATAGGGAAACCCCGATTTAGACCCTAATATACTATAGTTCTTATTACAAGGACCCCCCAAAATGGTACCCCCCAAATTTGGGGAAATCCCCAAATTCAGAAAGAAGCGCGCGATTAGAGAAGTCCCTCTTGAGGATGACATGCGGGTTGAACGCTGTCTAATGTAGCCCCATATGATCCCTATATGACCCTTATGTAACCCCGTATAAACCCCGTCTATAACACCATATGTGGTCTATATAACTCTCATATAACTCCATATAACCCCTACATAAGTTCTGCAAGCTACAGCTGCCATCCAAAGGCCAAACTCTACTCTGGCTATGGCGTGTCAAGCTATTCCCTTGGAGAGGAGGCTCTGACCCAGCAGTCGCAAAAAGGGGGCTATAGAGGATTATATGGGGGACTACTAATTATGAGGGTTATCAAGGGAGATACTAGGAGTTTTGACCCTGGTTCGTATGATGATGAAGTACCTTTTGAAAAGCATGAGTTCTGCGTCTCTCATCTTCCCACTGAAGCGGAAAAAGTTGACCCAACGCAGACCAAGACTCCATCGCTGGATGAGAGGCGTAAGTCCACAGAGGCGCGTCCACACATCGCAGCATAAGAGACAACAACGTGATGTCAGGTCGCCTCAGCGGGATCATGATGAAGGGTCTGGGCCGCATGAAAGTGGCAAGCTACATGCAGGAAGGGCTTACCCTCAACTTAACTTGTTCACAGGTATGCAGAAAATCTCTTTAAGCACTGCCATCTATAGCCCCTTCCTTTCTTTCGTGATGTGAGACCACCCTTCAGATTTGCAATGATGCCCTACCAGCTCTGCATGAGGTGGCAAGGTGCCACAGCGAGATGCGTCAGCTTCTTCATCCTCAACCTGGATGGTGTTGTGTAGGGGCCCTTGAAGAACATGTCTAGCCTACAGCTCATATAGTTGCAGAACTCCGGAACTCTTTAACTGCACCTTTTGCCCAACAATGACCAAGCAACCAAATCGAGGTTTGTCGGCTCACTGGTGGTCGGCACGCGCATGCTTGTCCCCGTCGTGCTGTTGGGCGAAACTGGAAGCAGTTGGGTCTCTCGATGTTGAAAAACATGGCTCAATGACACCTGAGGGTATCTTCATGGAATATATGGGGTCTTATGGTGTTCTGTAAGGCTTACATGGAGTGATATAGAGGTCATATAAGGATAATATGGGGCTATATTGAGGTTATATGGGATTATACCCAACCCAGGGCCATGACCTTCAAAACATCGAGTCCCAAAACCCTTTTCGCAACATGCTTTCTGAGTCCGCCCGGGAGAAGGGGCATCGACCCCTAAACCCTGAAGCCCCAAACCCTAAACCCAAACCCTAAATCCTAACCCCTGAACCCCAAAACCCTAAACCGGCTAGAGTCACCTGCTCCCTGCTGGAAACTTTAGGTGATCTCGGAACTTCTCCACCTCCAGGCGAACCTATCCTGGGTTGCCGGTAAGGAACCTAAGTTAAGTTACTATAACAATGGTATATAGGATCTATGGGGCTTAGGGTTTCTAAAAAGGAAACCGTACTACTTGCTGTATACCCAAAATATGGTAACTTTTAAGGTAATTTTGGGGTAATATAGGGGTTATACTGGGATAATGAAAAACACAAAGGAAACTACTATAATAGGGATATAATAGGGTCTCACCCAGACCCCTAAACCCTAAACCTTAAACCCTAAACCCTAAACCTTAAACCCTAAACCCTAAATCCTAAACCTTAAACCCTAAACCCTAAACCCTTAAATCAAATTCCTTAACGGCAAGCCGGCATCTCAAGGGTTTGCACTGGCGGCGGCCTCTTCTTAACCTGGCTTCTGGAGTTTCTTCTTGAGCTTCTAGGTTTAGGGTTCAGGGTTTTGGATTTGGGGGTTTAGGGTTTAGGATTTGGGGGTTTAGGGTTTAGGATTTGGGGGTTTAGGGTTTAGGATTTGGGGGTTTAGGCGAGCTCACACACAAAAAAGGCGACAAGTGCAAAGCATGCAAAACGTAGTCCTCAGCTAGTAAAAATCCCACACCCTATACAACTACACCCCTAAGCCCTATACCCCTGAACCCTAAACCCTATGCCCCTAGACCCTAACTAGTAGTTTTCATTTTATTTTCCATCATCCCAATATAACCCCAATGTACTATAGTAGTTTTCCATTTTCTTTTCCATTATCCCAATATATCCCCAACATAGTATGGTAGTTACCATTTCTTTTCCACTATCCCTATATAACCCCAACATAACAAGAGACACTGCCCGGGATTGGAGTTGCGAGGTCCTCGGCTTTCAGAATGGACCCTGCGCTGGCCCCCTCGGGTATGGCAAGCGATTTCTGCGAGGTCCCGGGACCGAAGCTGACCTACAGTAAGTTTAGAGTTTAGGGTTTAGGAATCAAGGTTTTTGCCGGTTTTAAGTAAGTTTAGGGTTTAGGGTTTAGGATGTAGGGTTTTGCTCTTAGGATTTAGGGCTTCGGCTTCAGGATTTAGGGTTCAATATTCAAGGTTTAGTGTTTTAGGCGTCTCTTTTATGCGCTTATCTCAGCTGGCAACGCTCAGTGCCTTCCGGTAGAGTTTGGGATTTTAATATTCAGGGTTTGGGATTGTCACCCACGTAGTCCTGAAAAAAAGATATGCACCTGGACCAAGGCCAACACTGGGAAGATTACTGCCTTACTTCACATGACATGGTGAGTGCAGGCATCAGGGAACAGGGTGTCAATTTCAGGGCTTCACTTCGCTGAAATCCAAAAAACAGGTAGGTTCTCATGGAACTACCCAGCCACTTTCCGAGATACTGCGAATAAGCCCTGGCTGGTAGCGATCCCCTGCGCCGCGGCAGCCCCCACATGGTAGGTGCCACTCCTCTTGAAGGTAGGATTTCCTTTCATTGCTGCTTTCATCATCCTCTCTCCCAGCAGCTGGTCAATGTCGTCAAAATCTGATAAGTCATTTGAGGAGATGGGTGTACCCGCAGCGTTGGAGAACTTGGAGTGCTTGGAGTTGCACCGCTTTGAGTGGCGCGACATGAAGGAAGATGCCCCGCGAGGCTCGGGCAACTGACCCTGTAAAGCCTGGTTAAGCTTCTCGTCCATACCTGCCATGCGAAGGTGTACCTCAGGGAATTTTTCAAGTTTAGGGTTTAGGGGACATGCGTGTCAGACAAATGCTCAGAACCAAAAAGAAAAGCTGAATCATCGAGCTGTCGTCCTGCTGCAATTCTCTGCTCTGCTGTTCGCAAAGCCTTACTGGCGGTTAGATTGCCCCATGAACACTGTTTCTATTTCATTTTCCATGTGTTTTTCAGTTTGAGTCTCCGCCGGTATATTCCCCTATGCCCTTCTAATGAGAAATCAGTATATAATCTCTGAAAGATCATATACAATTCCAATATAACCCCCACTTATATAATCCCTACATCAACCCCATATACTTTAACCCTATCTAATTTGTTCTCCCTACTAACCACCAATGATAACCCTTATATAATTCCTAAACCAACCCCCATATACTTAACCCTATCTAACTTGTTCTCCCTACAAACCACCAATGATAACCCTTATATAATTCCTAAATCAACCCCCATATACTTAACCCTATCTATTTTGTTCTCCTCACTGACCACCACCACCAATGATAACCCTTACATAATTCGTAAATCAACCCCCATACACTTAATCCTACCTAATTTGTTCTCCCTACTAACCACTAATGATAACCCTTATCATGCCAAAGCCAAACCCCATATACTTAACCCTATCTAATATGTCCCCCTTCCTAACCACCAATGATAACCCTTATATAATTCCTTAAACCAAACCCAATACACTTAACCCTATCTAACACGTTCTCCCTACTAACCACTAATGATACCCCTTGTACTTCCTAAACCAAACCCCACAAATACTTAACCCTATCCAATACGTTCTCCCTACTAATCACCAATGATAGCCCTTATATAATTCCTTAAACCAACCCACATATACTTAACCCTATCTAACATGTTCTCCCTACTAACCACCCAAGTAAGCCTTATATAGTTCCTTCTATCAACCCCCAAATACACTTAAGCCTATCTAATATGTTCTCCCTACTATCTGAACCCCAAACCCTAAACCCTAAACCCTACTCCCTATCTAATACTACCAATAAGAAGCTGAATGAGGGTCGTCAGCTTGTCCTCGACTGTGGCCTTTGATTCCTTTCGACTCTCAATCGAGGCCTCATTCTGGGAACACAAGGCACTTCAATAGGGGTTGTTAGATAGGGGGAATATGGAGAATATATATATATATATACATATATGTGTATATATATATATGTATGCATATATAGTCCCCCTTAAGTAGAATGGCTTTGGGTACATTCTAATAAGATCCCCATATACCCTGTATTCTATCTACTGAAGGGGGGCTACAAGGAAAGGTGCGGGGACCCCGGTTCCCCAGCATCCAGGGTAGGGTTCCTTGTTGGGCCTTGGTAGACTTTTTCATTCAGGGTCTTTCAGGGAAGAAAGTTTTTTAAGCCCACCACCCTGCGTGACGCACCCACAAAGATGACCTCCGGTTCAGCCGTCTCTTGCGCAGCCAGGCCTTCTTCATGCGAGCTTCCCAACATGGTGCTCAAGCGCGGCGCTGTGAATTTGAAACTGCCACGCGATTATGACACAGCCCTCAAAGAACCTAATGTGCTACACCACCCGTGCTCACATCTTTGCTGTGATGAAATGCTCTGTGTTTGCATTAGACAGCCCGCTTGACACTTCCGCCAGCCGAGAGATGCCACGGAAGCTCTGTCACATAATCCCCTATATAATCCCAGTTTCCATTTCATTTTCCATTTTCTTTTCCATTTGATTCTCCATTATTACCCTAGTAGTTTCCATTTTCTTTTCCATTATCCCAATATAACCCCAATATAACCCCGTGAACGCATCTGCCATGCCATCTTGGGTTTTGTAGCAGGTTGATCTTTCAGCAATGTCCCAGAGGCTTCGGCGAGGGACAGAACTACATTTCTTCAAGTCCTCAGGTACTGTCTTACAACCCCAAACTGTTCTGTCTGAAGCAGCCTGGCGCACTCTCACTGATGTTTAAGATTCTCGGTTCTGAGGTGAAAAGCCCTTTAGTGCCTTCTTAGCCAGTGAATCCCGAGATTTGGATTCTTGTTGACACTTCCGCAATTTTGTTGGTTCTATGGATCTGGATTTCATGAGGAGTCCATGCCATAAAAAATCGGAAATCTTCTGCCTGATGCTGTATGCTTCTGCAAGGGAGGTCAAATGTACCAACCCCCCAAGACCAGCAACCTGGCGATGCCACATGAGCTACAGTCTAAACTCCTAGTATCCCCCGCAATAACTCCTGTAGTAGTCCCCTATATCATCCCCCTTTGAGGACTTTAGACTATAGCTCACATGCCTTTCTCAGGTCTCGAATTTGGGGCTTGGGGTTCAAGACTTAGGCCGCCACGGTCTTCACTAAGAGGCTGGTACCTTAGCTGGCAGACTCCTAAGTTACCTTTTTCTTATCTAGGGTATATTTTCGGGGTTGTATTTAAATAGGGTATATATTGGGACTATATTGGGGCTATATAGGGAGAAAGAAAATGGAAAC